CGTATAATGAACAAGCTAAACGTTTAGAATATGGAAAAAAACTTGATGTTGATGAACAAGTAATTTAAATTTCATAAAAATAAATTTCTTTAAAACAAACATTTTTTTTGTTTAGTTACCACATGTTAACGATGGTGTTATTCTTCATGGTTTATATATGGAAGCATTCCGTTGGGATAATGAACGAAAACAAATCGCTGATGCTGCTCGAGGTGAAATGATAGCAACATTACCAATGTTACATATGGAACCAAGACAAAATTATGTTGTTGATCCAACACAGTATATCTCACCATTATATAAAACAGCAGCAAGAGCTGGTGTTTTATCAACAACAGGTAAATAAAAAAGCAAGAAAAAAAATTATAATAAACCTTTTTTTTTTGTATTTTAAATTAGGTCATTCAACAAACTTTGTCGTAACAGTAAATTTACCGACTGATAAACCACAGGATTATTGGATATCAATGGGCAGTGCATTACTTTGCCAAGTATCAGACTGATAAAATGGATATTTCTATTTCTTTCTTCCCTATAATCTAGTGATTAATTAATTGTGTTTGTTTTTTTTCTAATATTCACTAGTAACATCATGTAGTGATCACTGATAAATATTTATTTTTTATTTTATTCATTTCAAAAATAAAATAAATAACGAAAAGAAAAAAAAAATCGAAAAATCAATTTTCATGATAAGAAATATTTGTTATTCGATCCATTTTTTTGTTTCTCAATTTATTGATAAAAACAATGTATGATAGACGAAATAAACATTCGATTGGTATAACTATTGTCGACAACAGCTATCGATGGACGTAGGAAGATGTTTTGTTTCGAATAGTTTAAATATTTGCTTTGATTTCAACTAGGAAAGTGAACCTTTGTCTTCTGACGACGAAAGTATTTCGAAAAATATAACATTTGAACGTGTTATTAAAGAATGTGGATCTTTTGGTCGATATCAATATATACATTTCTTTTTTATTACTTTTTTTCCAATAGCTACAGGAATATATAATTTTTATTATGTATTTGGAGCAGCTGAAACTCCATATGAATGTTATGTGGCAAATGATACTCATCAAGGTTTTAATATCGAAGTATTACCTTCACAATGTTATTATAAAATAGATTATCCAAATAAAACAACTGTTACTTATCTATGTACGAATTGGAAATACGATCGAAGTCGTTTTGGTGAAACATTTTCAGAAGAAGCAAATTTTATTTGTCATCGTAGTATTCATCGTTCATCGTTGGCAATAATGTTTCAAATCGGTGCTATGTTTGTTTTTATTACTGGACAAATAACAGATAAGATAGGTCGTCGTCATACAATACAATTGCTTATTGGTCTATTATTAGTCACTTGTTTGATTACTCAAGGATTTTTACAATTTGTACCAATGTCAATAAATTTGAAGTAAGACAGTAAGATTTTGAAGTTGAAAAACTTCATATGCAGACTGTTACAGAAAGATGTGTTCATTAATGGTAATATAAAAATCATAAAATGTTAACATAAGCATCTATAAATTTATTTCTATATGTATTGAAGTTGCAAACAGGCCGAGTTTTCGTAATCCTGGCCTATCTGTACCCGCATAACTTTCTTTTAATTCTTCTTAGAAGAGAGAAAAGTTAAGGAAGAAAGTCTTTCGATACTACTGAGCAACCATTTATTCATCAGTTTTTCTCAGAAAAGTATATCCTTAGTTGGAACTGTTGAAACTCTCATTATTAAGCATGAACAATTTCTTGCGTTTGTGATTTCGTGTGTTAGTAAATTCATGAAGAAATTTCAGGTCGATGCAAACAAATATATTTTTACTATACACAGAAGTTATTTAGATCAATTGTTTTAACAGTAATGTTCTTTCGAATAGTTATGTGACGCTTTGTTTACTGTTTCATGATCGATCTTGTGTACATGTAAATTAATATTGCGACCTTTAGCTCGTTCTAGATGCATGCAAAAATATTTTACAATATTACCTAAATAATCTTCCGTAACATCTGCTTTTCATATAGTAAATTCTGCAGCTGTCTTCAAGGCTTTTATCATGCTTTTGACATTTCTCTCATCTTTTATCTTTTTAATATATTACACCTCAAAATATGTCCTGATTCCGTTTCTATTTGAAAGACGATAACTAGTTCTCTTGAAAAACTGGGAAGCAAAACTTCGTTTTAGCATAGTTAGTTTGTGCCATCAAAAGATTAAAACCGTGGCTTATGCATGACAGAAAATTCATAGGAAAAAAGATAGAACGTAAGCAAAAACTTAGGAGAGAGAAATCATCATGTCTCTGCCTTCTAATCATATGGCCTATGTGCCTATCATCTAATTTCGTCGGCTTGATCTGTCCGTCACGACTTGTCTATGTTTGTTTTTTATGTCACTATCATGTTTATCACTGAATACAATTAAATATTAATCTTCATAGAAAACCCAACAAGTCACTGGAATCAATTAAAGATGAATACAATAAAAACTCTCTAATGCAAACATTCATGATCATATTCAAAAGTGTCACTGAACAAAGATGTTTGATTCTTATACGTTCAAGAGAGCATATAAGACTATAGATAGAACAAAACAAAATATTCAATTCAGAAAAGTTATTCTAATCAATGAAAGTCAAAAAAATCGTTCAAAGTTCACTGTAACAAAGTGTTGACTTTACAGAAATGTTTACAATGGAACGCTTTACTGTAAATTAAACATTTATGAATTGCCCAGTGGTAATACGTAGAAAAATACAGAAGGAAAATCTTGTTGTTATTGAAGAATATTTTGAATGAATGTAACAGACAAAAGTGGCGCTCGCAGTGTAACGGTCAAGAGAAGAATGATGCTAAATATGCAACAGAAAGAGATTGTGCGGTCTCAGTTGAATTAATTAGAATTGAAAAAAAAAGACGACGAACAAGTGATGATAAACATGGAAATTTGTGTCGATGACCATTCCAGAATGGTCGTGAATTTGATCTTCATCAGATCTATGCGCTCGCAATATATTCAGTTTCTAAGATCAAACTTTCATAATAGAAAATTAAATAACATATCATTTTGTAGAATACTATATATCCGATCGAATTGGTTCGTTAATATTACATGTGATCTGTAGATTGTCTTCCAAATATGATAAATTGAGGTTTGTCTTGCCGTATATAGAAAATTAGAAAAATCAAAATTCTATTCTTTTTCATTTCCCGTTTGATAATAGTCACGGTTTCCTAATATAAAAAGAATATATAAAAGGAATAAGAATTGTCATAAAGAAAGTAATACTAGTTTTTCTCTAAGTTTTATTGATTAATAAGAATTAAAATATTACTAATTATCCTTTCGTATGATCAATTCATTATTTAAACATTACGAATATAGATTTCTATGTCTTAAAAATGCGACTATATAAATTATCATTTTTCAAAAGTTATTTCTCGTTCCAATAGTCAAACAAAGAATTTCAAAAAGAAAACCCTCATGAAATTAATTACATAAATCTAATCGTTTTCATTTCATTTAGATTCACTTTACTTCTTATCAATCAATTTGTAGCTGGTATCGATACATTTATGGTGTCGTTGATTCTACTTATGGAGCTTACAACATCATCTTATACTACATTTGTAGGAATTTTAGCACTTGTTGCCTTTACTTTTGGTGAAATAGTGGTAACTGGTATGGCTTATATGTGTCGACATTGGCTTCTACTTAAATGGGCAATGACTTTATATGTGCTTGCTCTTGTTCCTTATCTTTTTTTTGTACCTGAATCCCCACATTGGTTGCTAACAAAATATCGTTATGATGAATTAAAAAAACTTTTACATCAAATAGCTCGACGTAATCAACGATCTGATTCACAATGGTTACCATATTATCAATATGTGATTGACAAACATCAAAAAGAAAAAGATCTTAATAAAAAAAATAAAATTACACTATCAACTTTTTCTAAATTACGTCGATTTTTAACACATATACCAACAATGAGTAAGTTATTTATATCAGGTTATTTTGGATTTGTAACATTACTTCTCTATTATAAAATATCTTATGGTCTTGGAGCCATGAATGAAATCGATCCTTATGCAAATATGATTATTGGTGCTGTAGTTGAAGCTGTTGGTTATATAGCACCTAGTCTTTTTATGATACGATATGGTCGAAAACCAACATTTGTACTTTTTCTTATACTTACTATTATTTGTCTATTATTAACACCATTAACATTTGGTCAAAATCGTTTTATTATTATTATTATTGCACAATTAGGAAAGTTTGCAATAAGTGCAGCAACTGGTGTTACATTTATATTTGTACCAGAATTATTTCCAACGACAATTCGTGGTACTGGTATGGGATTTTTTGCTCTTCTTGGCCGTTTTGGTTCTACCATAGCACCATTAATTGATGCATCAATCAGTCACAATCGTACATTAATTGTTAATATGTATTATTTATATACAATATTAACCATTCTGTGTGTCCTACTGACATTACTATTACCTGAAACACGAAATGTTCCATTGGTCGATAAAATAAACTATAGTAGTAGTAATCAAAACAATAAAAAATCATATAACACACAGTCAATAGCTCGCACATAAATGATTATGATTGCTAAATAATTTATAATTTATTTGAAAAAAAAGAAAGAACGTACCTTTTTCTTTTTCTTCTCTTTGTGAAAATACGAGAGAAAAAAAAAATGAGTAAATAACTTTAATGCATTGTCTGTCTATCCGACACACAATCAGGAAACAGATCCGTTTCCGTTTGGTCTCACACAACAAACTTGACTGTACACATGATAGAGAATTGGAGTACTACGGAAAAAAAAGATGATATCGTCTTACTTTTTTGTATCCGATATGAAATCATTTCTACCTTATTTCAAAACCATATGAACAGAAAGTTGATCGAACTCAAATAGTAATTTCATTCCAGTATATATATATATATACATAAAAACATATCTATCGGCATTATGACAGCTTCATCAGTAAGTAAACAAAAACTTGAGCCGATGATTTGTTTGCTCAAGTGTCAATGCTGATTTTCTTTTTAGCTTCTTCATTTTCTTTGCATTGAGTTAAACATGACATAATCACATGGAAATTATCCAAAGAGCACATACATATAAAAAAAAGAAAGCGGAACACTTCGTCTTTTTTTCTGCTCGATGTCTATTAGCATTTTACACGTCATTCTCTAGTATTTCTTCATCACCCAAAAGAAAAACATAGTGGACTACAAAATCAGCATGATTCTTAATGAATTCAGTTCTTCTTTGCACATCATCACAAGTCAAGTAGATCAGATCATATTATTATATTTCTCTTGTCTTTTGTTAAAAGAAAATACTCTTTTTTTCTTTGTTTCAATTCTATGAAAGTTTGTTTTAATAATTATTCTTTTCTTTTTCTTTTTTTGATTATTTTCTAAATATTGGTGATAATCAAATTTCTACAATCAAAATTTGGTAAGTACCTAAATTTTATAGGAAATCAACTTGTTCGCCATACAAATCGATAGATGTCGCTAAAATATTAAAATAAGTTAAAATTTTTCTAACGTATATTTAAAATCAATTCTTTATTTAATTACTTGTAATTTAAAATTAAATAATTTCTTCTATTATTAAATTAATCACTCCATCACACTAGCCAATCCAAGTAAATCATCTATGATTTATATCTGTTTCGTTCGTTTGTTCGTTCTCTGATGTTCTTTCATTTATTTATAAGAGACCTTTTGAGTTTTTTTCTTTGCTCACGAGATTTTTCATAAGTGTTCACAATACAAAATAAAAAAAAAACGGAATAGACACTTTCTCTCCATAATTACATTCTCTACCATCCTAATTTTTATCGAATCACAAAAAAAATCTTGTCGTCATGAGTAATGACGATTAGATACAAAATGCTCTTCAAAGTAAGCATCAATAAAAAATGAAACATATGTTTATCTAATTATATTCAAATATAGATGTTATGAACGAAAAAAAATATCTCTTGGTCGATTTTGACATGAATAAAGAATACAATACTGTTCGGACAACGTCCAGTAAGTAATTTGAATGTTTTAATTTTTTGTATTTTTCTATTAAGATAATATTGTATTTTACGCTTTCAAATAAATAGAAAATCCATAAAAATTCTGTTTCTCTTTTTTTTTTTTTATTAGGTTCCGAACCATCAGGTAATCGAGCTAAAAGAGTAAATAAAGATCATGCTCATAGAAAAAAAAAATTCATATTGATCTTTACTTGTTCTTTTTTTTTTCATCTACTAAAAAAAGATAAATCCAGATCGTATGTAAATAAACGTTAGCACGAGAGAAAAGCGCATTGCTAAATTATTTTTCGAATAATTTTAATTTTAATTATAACAATTATATTTATTACAGACGATCAACCCTTTCTTCCTATTAATCCATTTGCTGAACCTATAACAACAATGTCATCTACAAATCTAAATCATCATGGTGGAGATGATAATATGATTGATATTGATTTTCAAAATACAACTAATGATAGAACAACTAGTAAGCTTAAAAAAAGAACACCTACATCAAATAGAAAAACTTGATATTAATTTTATAGGTAGCGTAATGAATGTTGATTTAGTTAATACACATTATGATGATTTTCAAACAATTGATTGGCTCAAAGATTTAATGCGTGATCGTTTTCGTCATCGTTTATTACGAACAAAATCTTATCAATCATTTTTTAATAAACTTTTAATGTATCATGATGCATGGTCTGGTTGGTTATGTGTTTTACTTGTTGGTTTAAGTGCTGGTGTTATTGCTGCTGTTATTGATATTGGTACAAATTGGATATCGCATTTAAAACATGGAATATGTCTCAATGCATTTTGGCTTAATAGAGAACAATGTTGTATGTATTTCAATAGAAAAATTTCGTATGAGAAAAATAAAAGATCATTGGAGGTACACTTTTGCTTTTACACATAGAATAAAAAAATTTGACATTTATTCGTAACAATACATGTCATGTACGACAGCAAATAAAAACAATTTTTTTTATGACGCATAGGGTATCACCGTAATCGAAGAACTTAGTCAGGTTGGATTTTAGATCTATTAATTAGAGATAAATTAGATATGAACAATTTAATGAAAAAAAAACAAATTCTTATTCCTCTCATAACACTAATATTAACTTAGTCATTTAATCCCCAAGCATAAAATATACCTTGTTAGCACCTTTTTTTATATCTGAGAAAAACAGTGAACAATATAATAATTAAATAATAATATTAATTCAGTATTTAAAAAATTCACTGATATTTTAACATCAACCTCATGTGATAAAAATATTATTCGTTTAGGTTGGGCATCAAGAGAACTTCAATATGATAATGTAAATTCAGAAGAATGTCCTGAAGTATAAAAAAATCAATAAAAATTAAAAAACAAAGTTTTTTCATGTTTTTTTTAAATTGCAGTGGTTTACTTGGCCTCAAGTATTTGGTACATACAAAAAAGGAGCCGGAGAATTTTTATTATCTTATATAATGTACATATTTTGGTCGACAATATTCGCGACATTTGCTGTTCTTCTAGTCAAAGTATTTGCACCATACGCATGTGGTAGTGGTATTCCAGAAGTAATCAAAAAAAAAAATATTAAACTTTGATTTATTTATTTATTTAAATTAGATTAAGACAATCTTAGGAGGTTTTATTATTCGAGGATATTTGGGTAAATGGACTTTATTGATAAAAAGTATTGGAATGGTTAGTCTCGATTTCTTTTTTTATATTGTAAATTTATAACAAAAAAAAAATCTTGTTATAGATGTGTGCTACAAGTGCCGGTCTTATATTGGGTAAAGAAGGACCATTTGTTCATATAGCTTGTTGTTGCGGCAATATATTCTCATATCTTTTTCCAAAATATGGTCGAAATGAAGCAAAAAAACGAGAAATTTTATCTGCAGCAGCTGCTGCTGGTGTTTCAGTTGCATTCGGTGCACCGATTGGTAACGAAAAATAAAATTCTCAATTTTTATTGTTGTGAAAAATTTTCTTTTTTTTTAATTTTAGGTGGTGTTTTATTCAGTTTAGAAGAAGTATCATATTATTTTCCATATAAAACATTATGGCGATCATTTTTTTGTGCTATGGTTGGTGCACTTGTTGTTCGTTCAATAAATCCATATGGTAATGGACATGATATTCAATTTAGTATCGATTATTCTGTACCATGGGCATCATTTGAATTATTACCATTTATTTTATTAGGCATTCTTGGAGTAATTATAGATACATAGATAATAATAAAATAGATAAATTTTGTTTTTTAATTTTAGGGCTTATGGGGTGCATTTTTTATAAAAACAAATGTTTGGTGGTGTCGTTTTCGAAAAAATTCACGACTTGGACAATATACAATATTGGAAGTAAATAATTTCTATCGATTAAAAATAAGATTGATAGATTATTGCAATGATTATATGAATATAATTAATCTTACGAGGAAACTACCTGAGCTTATCCTCATTTCAAAGTTTTTTAATATTTTCAATCGATCCTTTTGAAAACCAATGTATTCTGTGAAATAACTTAAGTGAATTTTCAACTATTAGCTATACATTCGAACAGCCTATGCAAGATCGACAAAACTACACAAGCATCAGAGTTTTAGATTTTGTTATTCACAGTCATAGATTATTTTAGTCGAAATTCTCGGTCGAGTTTTCAAACAATTGCTGTGGAAAAAAAAACACATTTTTGTTTGTTTTCTTCTGTTACAAAGAACCATTTTTTCGATATTTCTTTTCGGATGAATTTGATTCAAAAAAGCTTCAGTAAACATCTTCGAAGAACCTATGATAGATGATTTGATGCGACTTCGTTTCTTCTTTTCACTCTGTAGACTGAAAAAAAAAAACAGGAATTTCAACTTAAAATATCGCTCATCGATAAGTCTAGGGATGCACTAAACCCAAATCGAAAATTGAGATTGTTGCATGCCTGGATCGATCGGATGATTAATAGGATGTTTTGAAAGTTTCAGCCAAAAAGAATGTTCTTTTATCAAGATATTGAATTTCCAAGAAGCTAATCACTTGCCAACGACATGTTATAGAAATACTTCAAAATTCAATATCTTAATAAATGAATATTATTTTTGGCTGAAATATTCTACGGATCAGTTGTCCTATCTACAGGCATAATTTTACATTGAAATTCTGTTTTTTTTTGTATATACTCGAAAATTTAGTAAAGCGATCAAACTAATTGATACAAATGATTTTCTTCTCTCGTTCATTTTTAATAAATATATATTATTTTTCAGGTTGTTTGTCTTGCATTAACTACTGCTATTATAATATATCCAAATCCATATACACGTATGTCAATGTCAGAATTAATCAAGCGTTTAGTTAGTCAATGTCGTGTAGAAGATATGATTGATCTATGGTAAAAGAAAAAAGTTACATCGAATTTTTTTTGATAATATTGAAAATTTTTTCTTTTAAGTGATTATCCAAATGCTCAATTTTATAATGGTAAATCAAAAGGATCAATAGGATTAGCTGGTCCTGGTGTACATCAAGCTATATGGAAATTATTTTTTGCTCTTATCGTTCAAGTTGTACTTGTAACGTTTACTATAGGTGTTAAAGTTCCATCAGGTTTAATCATTCCATCAATGTCAATTGGAGCTATAACAGGACGTATTATTGGCATTATAACAGAACAATTAGCTATACAAAATCCAACATTTATTCTTTTCCGTCATGATTGTAGTAAGGGTATACTTAAGATTGTTGTTTTTTTTTGTTTGTTTTGTTCTAATTAACTCTAAAAATTATTCTTTTATTTAAAGAGGAAAATTGTGTTACACCAGCTTTATATGCTATTGTTGGTGCATGTGCCTTTTTGGGTGGTGTTAGTAAAATGACCGTATCACTTGTTGTTATTATGTTTGAATTAACAGGTGGCTTAAATTATATTGTACCATTAATGGCAGCAGCAATGACAGCTAAATGGATTGGTGATGGTTTTGTACGTGGTGGAATTTATGATGCACATATTGAATTAAATGGTTATCCATTTTTGGATAATAAAGAAGAATTTAATTTTACAACAATCGCTGCAGATGTTATGCGTCCAAGGTATAACGTTTTAATTATAATAATTTGTTTTTTTTTTTTCTTCAAAAAAATTATTTCTTTTTAATAGACCAGAGCAATCTTTATCATTAGCTTATTTAACACAAACTGGTATGACATTTATAGAAGTCGAAAATTTATTAAAAGAAACAACACATTCATTATATCCTGTTGTTGTTTCACGTGAACAACCGTATCTTGTTGGACAAATACAAAGACGTGACCTACAAATTGCCCTCAGTATGTATTTTTATATAAAAAAAAAAAGTATTTTTTTAAGTTCTTTTCTCTACTAGAAATAATGAATATTAAGATTTTAATAATTAACACTTGTAGTAAAGACTTCCTGTTGAGTTAACCATGGGAATAGATTATGCAAGTGCTGATTATTGACAAAGCTATGATTAAATTTCAGCAAAGTTATGTCATGCGGGAGATGCAGAATGGGTCGTAAATGACATGAGAATTGTATTTATTGTTAATGTGATTTTTTTTACAGCTATTTTATATGTATAACGCTGGAAATCTGCTTATCATGAATTCGTTTTTTTCTTTTTGAGAAATGATTCATTTCGGAGAATGACATATGGTTAGATCAAAGAAGAAATGACTGCCATCTTGAGGAATTTTCGTTTTTATCGAGCGGAATTTCAGCGTTTCATTGCCCCCCCCCCCCCCCTATCAAAAAAGAAACACGCAATCTCCAACTTTTGTGGTCTTGGAACGCTTATGGGTTAGACAATTACAAAAGTGTATAGTTTCCTATTGAAATTGTGTCGGAATTGTTAGTTTTGATTTTCTTCTTATAGAATATGGAGTTCTTGATTCCGATTTGAAATTAGCCATTTCTATTGTTAAGATTTCGTTCAGAAGGAAGACCATAATAAAAGTTGCAGGGTTTCTATGTTTTATCGATAAGAAATTATTTAGCATGAAGATTGTATTATTTGCGAGTTTAAACTCACTATGAACGAGTCAAAAATGACTCAAACTATCATGAAAAGAGCTGCTTTCACATATGTAATGAAGAAATTTTTTAAAACTACTCCATAGATAGCTTATGCCTGTAATAGTATGTGTATATACGAACCTGACAAACATTAGAACAATCAGTCTGTATAACTAAACAAAAAACAAATAGTTTTTTTTCAATTCATAAATCTTCGCCAAGGAATTGCGAAAATACTTTTTATTTTATTTTTTTTTTACAAATCTGCAGCTTATTGGAAGCTCTAGACAATATTCAGTAAACGCCTCAGTTCGATACTCTATCAATAGTTTCTATGAATAAGTCAAAAATGACTCAACAAAGGATAAACGGTTACCATCAAATATAACATATATTCTCAAGAGTTGTTAATTAACACTAACGACCATTAAGTTCGATCGATATAAAAATTAATGATGAATATTTGATATTTAGAATCACAAAAAATGCAACGTTTTCGTCTTTCGCAAAGTCTTATTCAATTTACATCAGCATCAGAAGCAACAGTAAATTCAGATTATGAAGTTGATAATCAAAATGAACAACGATCACCATTGAATTTAGAAGTTATTCGAATTGGCAATTTATTGGATCAGGTTTGCAAAGGAAAAAGTAAATTTGTTTTTGTTTTTCTTATCATTTTATATATTTAGGCTCCAATTATTGTTACTGATCAAACTCCAATGGAAACAGTCATTGATCTATTTCGTAAATTAGGTCTTCGACAATCCTTTGTGACACGCAATGGGTAAGTTTTCAGTTTTGACTTTTGCAATGTTTATCTTCTTTGATTTATTTAGACGATTACGAGGAATAATAACTAAAAAAGATATTCTTCGACATATTCAACAATTAACTTCGCGTAATGTTGAAACAACGTATTATGACAACTGAGAAAAATTTTTTTTTTTCACTCATCACAGTGAGATCGTATAACAGTCTCTCTCTCTATCTATCTCATAATCTATATATTTTTTTTTCTTATTGTTGTTATCAAACGGCCTTACTATACGTTGCCTAAGAAAACAAACAAATAAAACCGACTTGAACTTTTTTCTCCTGCGTTTGATATGCACAAATATATATAAATATAAAGTCTCAGAAAACTAAATAAAATCAGAAAATTATTTTTCTTTTTGTTTTCACTTCGTTCGTTTTTTGTTTTTTTTTATGTTACTAATTTTTGTTGTTGTCGTCATGTTCTCGTATGCATCGTTATTTACTTGTTCTTCGGTTTCTTTCAAATCAATTCTCGCTTTATATGGTTCACTTACAAAAAAAAAATGTATCTGTTTCTTAAAAAAAAAAGACTTTTGGATTCAAAGCCAAAAAAATAAAATCATGCAGAAAAAATTCTATCTTAACTAAAATTAGATTCTGTGTGAGTATAAAGATTGAATTTTACAGCACGGAGATTGAGATCTGTAGAATGGAATATAGACATTGTAATGCTTCATAATATTTACTGATCCTTAGATCTCTAATGTAAAATAGTAGTCTTGTTCTCACTAGAGATTTGTGTGAGCCTTAGATTAAATCAGTAAGAACAGGATATAATATAACAGAATTATGAACATTCGATATCTAAAATTTCGAAAGATCACCTCAATCTTATCATAATGATTGGCTAAAATTAAGAGATATTCAAAGGATGAGAATAGAGATTGGTTTTTAGTACTAAATATAAGCATTGAATGCGTATGAATTGTTTTTGTTTTCTAGATATTCATTAAAATTATCTACATTTGTTTGATCTTATTAAAAGATGGGTTCAAATCAAGCTAAAAGTCAGCCATTAGCTGCTGTTACTGATAAAAATCTTCCATCTCAACCAACTGTTGATAATAGTGAAACAAAACCGAAATGTAAAGCTTGTTGTGCATGTCCAGAAACAAAAACAATACGTGATGAATGTGTGATCTTGAATGGAGAAGAAAATTGTTCAAAAGAAATTGAAGCTCATCGAGCTTGTATGCGAGCAGCTGGCTTTAATATCTAAAATTATCTCATTTTTTTTTCTTGTTAACCTATTTTTTGTGATCCATTAGAATCCTGGTTTTTAGTTTTTTAAAAATAAAGAAACAAAACTTTTGTCCATTCAATAAATTAATATAATATTATTTTGATTTTGTATCTAAAAATAATTTAACAAGATTATCAATTGAATAATGTCCATCTTCATCAAGTGGTAAGCATTGTTCAATTTTTTCAATATCATTCGAATTAATACCAATGTCTTTTAATACTTTACGTAATTCACTCGGTGGAAAAAATCCAATATTATCCAAATCAATTATACGTAATGCTTCTCGTAATTCGATTTCTTCAGAACTTAATATATGTTCTTGATAATATTTACTTTTCTTTTTCTTTGTTGATTCTGATCGTTTTTGTTCTCTCTTATTTGGACTTGAATTAATCATACGATGACTTCGTGCTGCTGATGCAGATTTCGATCGTTTTGATGTCGTTTGTAATGTTGAATTACCATTAACTAAATGTGCATCGTCAATAATTGATTCAACTGTTGATGATAATAATAAAGGAGAAGAAGATGAAGGCATTTCCATATCTCGAATATTATGCAAATTGATCGGCTGTCGACTAGATGTATAATGAGTTTTAATCATAGATGCCATTGAAGTAAAATCTACAGGAGTATCTTCATCATTAGATATTTTCTGTTGAGTTTCATCAATAATAACTGATGAAACTTTTGGTTGATAATCAGCTAAATAAGATGGTGATGAAGCAGTTGGTGTAGTTAATGTTTGAAAATCATAATGATAATGACAAAAATGTAATGAATCGTTGGTAGAAAGTGGAATAGGTGATGTTGATGATGATATCGCACGAGATACATTATATTGACCAGAAGTAGATGTATCAAAATTCTGAAATTATTAAAAAAAAAGATTTTCATATCCTAACGGAATACCCTAAAGTAAAAAATCGATGAGTTCGATCCAACGAATTTTATTTGCATATTAAACATATGACAATTCTTGTTCGAGAACCGAAAGTAATTTCCATCACTAGTTCTTCTTGAAACAAACTGAGACTAATGTCTCTAAAATCCATTTCGGATCATATAGTTAAACTGTACAAGTTTGCCGGAATCAATATATTAAAAATTTATAATTAAGAGAAACTCACATGTTCAATAACTCACGAGAAAAACTTTCTAAGTGTCAAATCACATTTCGATTGAGATGATATTCATTTAATTAGTATTAATGAGTAATAGCAAGGCTTTCTCAATCTTTGCTTTTGAGATATCGAAATTTTGCTGAGTGTTTCAACAATAAGCTGTGGTTTCCTTCAAGTTGCGTGAGAGTTTGCATGAATGAAGTTTGTAATAAAATTAGTTAATTGTACCACTTTTAGTTTGTCTATTATTTCCTTCCTGAAAATTTCAATATATGAACAAACTTGGCTTGTACACATGAGAAAGTTTCGCATATTCAATATCTCACGCTAGGATATACTAAGAAAAATCTAATTGAGAACTATACTCATGCAAAACTCTCATGTAATCTGAAGGAGACCACAGCTTTCTATTGAAAAATTAAGTAAAATTCTGGTAAATCAAGAATGAAACCTCAAAAAAAAAACCAAACCTCTCTAGACTTTTGTATTACTCATCAAATAAACATCTCTGTAGAAAAGCGATTTGACACTTGAAGAGATTCCGTCGTCAGCTCATGTGATAAGATCTGAGAGCGAGCTATCACTCTCGTCTATTGCACACCTTAATTAAAGGACAAACAATATCTTTTTCATTGATAATCCATGTTCCATTACTTCCATCATTAGTAATTGGTTTTTCTAAAAATTCTTCTGCTAATAATATCGAATTATTTGAATCTATTTCGTTTGATAATTGTCTATCTTTTTTATATTTTCTTGAACGATGAAATTTTTTTTTTAATATATTAAATAACCATGGTGCATTTGTATTTTGAGATTTTAACATTTCATTCATACTTATTGGCATAGCACCTGGTAAATTTTTATAATAATTAACTGATGTATTATCTTTTATAACAACATTTGATATTGAACTTTTTAATTGTTTACTATTGTCAAAATATGTTTTAGCCAGATATCTCCATGAATGATTTTCTTCGTTAATAGATGCATAATCACTTTTTAATGAAAGTGATTTTGACATATGTGAAAATAAATCAGTTTCTGATAAGACTTTCAATTCATCTGTCGAATAATTTGCCATTCGAACAATCGAAGTAAAAAAGAGCACACACACACACGTACAAATACACGAAAAAAAAAAGAAGAAGAAAGTTTATATGTAACCCAAGCAACAAAAGAAAAAAAAGAGCAACAAATAAACAAAATATTCTCAAACACCAATACAACCCGATACTAGTTTTCTCCAAGTTTTCATTGAATGTGAATGATGATGATGATGATGACGTGTTCGTTGTTGTTTATTTGTTGTTTGATCTTGTTTTTGTTGTTCAATTATAGGCACAATTGATGTTGATGATAATGTTATTGTATTTCCATCACGAAATTCAATAGCTGTTAGAACAGCTGTATCAAAAACAGTTTTTAGATTTTTTTCAGTTAATGATGAACATTCAATATAAGTACAAGCATGCATTTGTTGTGCACGTGCACGTGCTTCTTTCTCAGTCACCGGTTTTAATTTTTGTTGATCAAGTGTTAATAATGTTTGTAAGTCTGATCGAAGATCCATTTGTGTACCAACAAGTATAATTGGAATTTTTGAATTGGAACGACGTGCACGTGATAACCAATATGTTATTGCATTTTGAAATGATTGGGGATTAACAACACTAAAGCATAGTAATATAACATCACTGTATGGAATACATAGACCATGTAAAGGTGAAAATTGTTCCTAAATAATAAAGATTTTGTTCTTTTTTTTTTAAATAATTCTAATTTATTCAATTTATATTCTATTGAGACTGTGTCTTCTATGATTATTATTTGCTTTGTTTCGTGACGATATTAATGAATGGATTTATAATTATCTAGGCAATATGAAAATAAATGAAATGACCCGCGAGGTAAACTAAATTTATCATTTCTATTTAGTTTAATTACATTTGATAAGACTTTTTTTTCTAGTGTATTTGTTCTTATACAATTGATTTACACATGATAAGAAAAAGATAAATGTATTATTGATCGATTGATCTGTTGAAAACTCAAGACAAAGCTTCTTACTTCTCATGCAAACATATCTCTTATGACGAATCTAATTTATATCAATATTAGGAAAGAAAAAGCGATTATCAACAAATGAAATCTGATAAAGTCGGATCAAATTTACATTAATTAAGAAATTCTTCGATTTATTTTGGCAGTAAATGAGTATCTCATACATACAGCGTGCAAGAAAATATTTTTCTAGTGGGGTAGTGCTGTGATTTGAAATAGCATAAAACAATAAATTTTATCCTTAATGAGAAATTGTTAAAAATAGAATTTATGAGCGTAGCTGATATTTCATAAGATGATAATGACCTTTAGACGAAAGAAAGTTTTTTTTCTAAATGCTACTCATGTCATCAAGTACTTTCATGGATAATTAATCATAAAAACATGAAGTTCTCAGAAAAACGTTCGGTCTATTGGACTTTTTAGAGCTTTCATTGTTAATGATTTAAATAAAACAAATTTTCTAAATTAACACGCACATATAAGTACCAGAATACAACTCGACAGTCACCTTTTCGTTAGAGCTATGACATTTTTCGGTACTTTGACGCTTATTACTATGAAATTATATCTCGAATTTCAAAAAAAATGCTTCTCCAAATTATCAGCACCAAGATCTCAGAGGAGTCTACTTAGACAGAGCATTTTTTTGGAGAGCTTTGTATTTTTTATAATTAGCT